GACTAGTACACAATTAACTTTAAAAATAACAGATTAATTACAAGGGAAACAGTGAACGAGCCAACAGAATGTACAAGAGAAATCACCACCTCCAAAGACCACTTCTGTGATAGGCTGAACCAGCCAGAAGCAGCACTGCTTCCAAGGCAGATATCACACTACTCATCACTGGCAGCAGACATACTAACCCCGTCTGAAGTTTTAGGCTCTTTTCTAAGGACATTTTCTGTAGGGAAATGACAAGCTGAAAAGTATTCAGGAGAGAAGTACAAGGACAATAGAGATTGGGGAAAAAAACCAGAAAGTCCTGCCTACATTCAGCCTAAGAGAAGTTTAAAAAGAACATACACTAACATTTGCATATATTTTAGTCATACATGATTGTTCTGCGGATTTGCACAGTAATAAATAAGGTACAAAGGCAAAATTCACAATTTTTTGTTCATATTCAAGCAAACTGGCAGAGTTCTGTAAAAGAACTAGCTGACCATAGTATCTCAACCATCGTTTAATACAGCAGTTTTCAACCTTTTTAAAGTTTGGGGACCAGCAAAAATCGGAAAATTATTTCAGGGACCGCTGATGCAGAAATAGAAAGCATTATATACATAATACTACATTTAAAAACTAATACAAAAATACTGTATCAAAAAAAGAAGAAAATTCTCTAAAATAACCAGAAACTGAGCAGTAAAAATACTAATAAAATTGAATATTGAAATTAAATGTAACCAAATACAACTGATTATTTTAGAGAGAAATATGTAATTCAAATAAGGTTACTGCAAAATCTGCTGTTGCTTCAAGAATCTGTGATCAAAAATTTTACAATAGTAAAATACAAAATTAATTTAAAAGCAATATTATGCTCATGGCAAATAGCAAATACAAATTCAAATACAATATTAATTAATAGTGGGGAATCACTTGGATGGTGGCCAATGACGAGCAGCGTCCCCCAGGGCAGCTCTGGGACCCATCCTGTTCAATCTTTTCATCAATGACCAGGAAGAAGGGGTGACCAGTCTGCTGCTCAAATTTGCAGACAATACTAAAATGGGAGTGGTGGCCACAACTGAGCTGGTACTCCAGATTGAGAAGTATCTGGACAGACTATGGAAGCGGGCAGGACAACAGGATGGCATTCAGTGCAGGTAAGTGCAAGGTCTTGCACTTGGGACATAGGAATGGGTGTCACAAGTGCTTCTCTTCAGCCAGTGGACAAGTGGCTGAAGAGAAGCACTTGTGAAAGGGTTCTCAGGGTGCTGGTTGATTGCAGGCTAGATGTGAGCCAGCAGTGTGACATTGCAGTCAAGAGGGTGAACACCACCCTAGCATAGCCAGAAGCGTGGCTTCTAGATTGAGAGAGGTATTACTACTACTCTATAGGATTCCGGTGCGCCTGCAACTGGAGTACTGTGTTCAGTTCTGAGCTCCACACTACAAGGAGGATATATCTAGGTTGGAATCAGTGCAATGTACTGCCATGAGGATGGTGGCTGGATTGCATGGGAAGCCATATCAGGCAAGACTGAGGGAACTGTGTCTTTTCAGCCTGGAGAAGAGGAGACTCGGAGGGGATCTGTTGGTGACATATAGGTACATTAGGGGGTGCCATACAGAGGTGGGTAGAGATCTGTTTTCCCCTGCAGAGGAGGGCAGGACACGTTCCAATGGAGCAAAACTTAGGGAACCAAGGTTCAATTCAGATGCCAGGAAATACTTCCTGATCCCTAGAGAATGGAATGGACTTCCACGGGAGGTGGTTGAAGCCCCATCAGCGACAGTGTTCAAGGATAGGCTGGACATCACATGATAGGCATGTTATGAGCGGAGCAACTGGTCAGACTGGATGGTCTGGGAGACCCCTTCTGACTCGCTGTTTCTATGTTCTACATTAACAGAACAATACAAAATCAAACAAAGTTATTTAATACAATAATAATCATAATGTTAAATAATAAAATACAAAGAACCCCACCCACTGAAACTCCCATACACACCAGCACAGACTAGGTAAGAAAGGACTCGCCACACAATCCCACCTGAGTGTTTTCCTTCCCAGTAGAAAACACAGCAGAAAAAGGAACAGGCCTGGTCACTGGGACCCTGCCCAGAGGGTAGACCTGGTATGGCCCAGCTCCTAGCTATCTCCTATTGAGCTGTCTCTCCCCTCTCCAGCCTCCTTGGCAGAGGAAATGGTGGAGAATTGGCAGCGAGAGCACAGCTAGCCCAGCGCTGGTCCTGGTGAGATGCTGCTGTCGTGTGCATGCACAACAGCAGCTCTTTCGTGGTCCAGCAAGAAATGCCAGCAGACCTGCCACAGTCCATGGACTGGCAGTTGAAAACCACTGGGTTAACTGATTATGTCAGAAATATGACACAATCCCTTCAAGATGGCCTCAGTAATTTATTAAAGAAGCAGTATCCTTGGCTGTTCAGCTGTTGGGTCTTGTTGGGGGAATCTGAGTACACAGTAATTGCAGACTAGGAGACTGTAGAACTTGTGATGAGTTAGTCTTTCAAAACAAAGAAAAGAAACCAGGACATTTTGAAAGATAACATCTGCTCACCTGACCCATTTGCAGTCTTCAATCTCAGAGTTCCCAGCAAAAGCAATAGCATGCACACATGTGTACATGCACATGCAAATATACGAATGAGAGGGACCTGCGTCACACATTAACGTAGGATTATCTTGTTTCACCCTTCATTCATGGAAGGTTTTGCTTCATGTTTTATCATTTCTTCCCAAAACTCAAGGAAGTGAAGAGGCAAGACTCTTATGGACACCGTAAAACCCTAACCAGATTAACCAAATTATCCATTGCATGGCAGTCAACTACACACCAGGAGACTTCACCCTGATCACAGTTCTTCAGCATCAAAAGCATGCATTTTGTATTACATAATATTCACCATCTATTTTAATGAGCTATTTTAACAACTTTTGCAATAACCTGAGTAAATTTGAAATCCAAAGGAGCAAAAGTTGGATTAGCAGCAAGGAGAGGTTGCTTTTCTTTTATTCCAACATCCAATTCAGTCATGAACTAGTCACATAAGCAAGCTTCCACCCAGCCACAGTAATGGCATAATAATACTGGCATACATGTTAAAAGGTTTAGATTTCATATCTACAGTATGTTTTGAATGTGCCTAATACAGCAGGTCCAGTAATGGGTTAATGGGTTGTGGTAACCAAACCACAACACAAATTCATCACGTATTACAAGAGATTAGAGCATACAAGGTATCAAATCACCTATTTTGCAATGTTCATAGTACAGATGCCAGCCATTTCACCCCATGCTTACCACATCAGCTATAAACCCACTAAGTGTAAGCTCAAGATATTCCTCAAAACCATCTCCAAACTCTAATCATTGAGCAAGAATAATAACTAAAGCACACACATAGAGCACTATGATTATAGGCCTTATGGAAATGGCCTATAAGGGCTTTGAGTCCAACCCCATTCAAAGTAAGAGCTTCTTTTGATAATTTCAGAAGAACAATCTGGCTCTCTTCAGACTTCCTTCCACATCCCCATTTCTCACTAGCTGAAAAGAAATCTTACCTACTAACAAGCAGAGACATACAGTAGAAAAGTGTTTCTATCCCACAAGCTAAAAGCTGCATGCACAGCCTCTCCCTGATTTACCTGGGAGCCTAGGGCAGCAAAGACATCTCTTTTAAATGGACAGAGCTTACAAAATACGCACAGGATTGGCATGATTGAACTGTTGCTGGATCTGACAAGAGCACAGAAAAGTGGAAGCTGTATGTGAACTAGAAAGATTCAGTTCAGATCTCAATAAGCTCAATGATCTTATTGGCTCTTATCTACAGTATTTCTCTTCAATATAATGATAATAGTGGCCTAGTATCATGGTGGCTGAAGTATTCATACGGCAGCTGCTGCTAACAGCTCACATAAACATATGCTTAAAATACCAATTTGTACTCAACCAAATAAACCTGTGAGCACTTCATGTGCTGCTCCTAAACTGAGAGAGCTGGCTTTATAGTATCTTCTCCCAATATTCAAGAAAAACTATTTTATTGTAAACTGGCTGGCCCTCAAGTCCTAAAACAAGCTTTGATTATTTTCTTTACATTTTAAAGCACACTACTCCAGTTTTAATTTCATTTAACCTTAACTTTGTTTAAAATTATCTGCCTGCTCCTATTCACTTCAGTCCCATTTTGATTTCTTCTGCTCTAGAATCATAATAGATATTCACATTCAGTTTTCACTATAGGACACAGCTACTTTATTAATTTAGCTACTGATGTGCTAATTTGAGAAAGCATGGATGAGGAGCCACTATATAGGTTAGCTTCTGGTACTTCAGTTCACATTTTAAAAAGCCAAGTGGCTGATATGTCCTCAGTTTTATAAGTTTGTGGAATGTTTCTGGGAAACTGCGCAGGTAAAAACTTCTGTGAAACTTGTCAACCTGTCTTAAGAGTAAGAAGCGCATACAGTCAGTTAACTAAACGTGCTCCCACGACTGAAAACTGAATCGGTACGGGATACCCTCCATCTGACTATACTCGACAGTAAATGTACAGCTCTCCAGGTGGACCTATAGTGACAGAGATTTCCCAAGAAATTCTTGAAAAGAGAAGTGACATAATAAACCCTGCCGGTTGCTGCAAAAGTTATATGGGGCTAAAGTCTTCCCCGCTTGGAGGCCGCGTATATCGTGTCTTATAAGTCCCTTCCTGAATTCAGATGTGAAACGGAAGCTGCACTCTCCACATGTTCAGAAATACTTGGCCTCAAGCTGAAAGTGGCTCCCAAACAGGCCTCCTTCGCTCCACGACCATAAACAGAGGCAGCTTTTTGTGCTGAGAGGAAAGAAACCCCCAGGAGGAAACAGGACAGCTCTCTGCAGCCGTTCATTCTTCCTATCTGTTTTTCATTCATTTGTTCCATACCCTCCTGGCTAGGCCCCGCCCGCCATCCGAGCAGCCAGAACTTCTCTACTCACGGCTATAAAGGGCGAGGCAAGCCGCGTCCGGCCCAGTACGGGCCTCGAGACGAAGTGCCTGCTGCTCCTGGTGCCGCTGAATCTCGCCGTTGGCATCGCCAATGGTCAGGAGCCGCACGCCAGGAAAAACCGACGCCGACGCCATCTTGGCATCCCAGGCCCGCTCCGCGGCGGCGGCTGCTGCAAAGGCTGAGGACGACAAGGCGGAACGCAGCGGCGGCAGAGGGGCGGAAGCCACTCCTGCCGAGCTCAGCCAGGTGCAGCAAAGGACCGGGGAAAGGGCGCCCCCGAACCGCCGGCGGAGCGAAAGACTGCTTGGAGCAGCATGGCCCCTTAGAAAAGACCAGCGAACGCCCTCTGTCGCTTGGAAAGGGAATGATGAACATTCAGGGCATTCATGAGGCAGAGGAGAGAGCAGAGAACTAACTGTAGATATTAAAGGATCTTCAGCTAAAAGATCTTACATGTCCGAGGAAGGGTCCTGTATGGCTGCCAGACTGCGGATTGCTCTGTCTTCCGAGTTACGATTCGCTCGCCTTCTCTTGGCTTTTCCGGTAAAACTTTCCTATCTGGCTTTTTAAACTGCTTTCAGTGATTTTAATGTTTTAGCATGCTTTGTCGATCTTTCAGTATAACAGCTGCTTTATGTGATCTACTGTACCTTGGCTTAGTGGAAGTGTGATATGAACATTCTAAAAGTTAGTAAGAGGAAAAACAACAAACAGGCAAACATAGCAATGAAGGTGCAAATTCAAGTCAAGCAGGCACGACTAGAAGCTTCTTTCCCATGTATTAAGTTACACTGGTGACCTACAGAATTCACTGACAGTAATTTGCTTAGATGAGTTTGAAAGAGGCTAGACAAATTCATTGAGGATGCAACGGAGCATCAGCAGATGAGACAAGACTGGATCTTCTTGAGGGCTTTTTAGAGATTCCTGGCTGACCACTATGAAGGCAGTAGAGGTGGTCCCTTGGTTATGGATGAATTGCGTTCCGGATAAAAGTCCTTATGTCTAATTTGTAACTTGGATCACAGGAGTAAACCAAATGTTTGTCTTAGTATATGTGTATTTTACCTTTCTATACATACAGAACACTTAAGAAACACTTCCATATTCACTAAACCACCTTAAACACAGTACAGCATTGTAATGATAATACTAACAACAACACGGTAATAGTAAAGTAACTACAGGTACTGAATTGAGGGAGAGAGAATCTATATGTATGTAAGTATGCAGAGTTGTAAAAACAAAAGATATATTTCTTAAAGCAGTGTAGAACATTCTTGAGGTAACATTAAGCCTAACATTAACTGATGATGATAGAGATGGACCTGATGCTGCAGAGTCAGGATTTGATTGTGCTGCTGTGCAGAGGGAGGTTACCACTGGAGTCACTTTCTTGAAGAAAGCCTCAAAGGTTGTTTCTATAGCCATTTTCTTTTTCTCATCATAAATGTCCTTGTAGCAGCTGAGGGCCTGGTTACAAGGGCAAATGCTACAGAAAAACCAAAGGGTAACTATGCACCCTAACCATGCCCCAAATCACATTGGCTTGGGTAGATGACACATCACCAAACACGTTGCATAGTTCCCTAGAGATACATTGTATAGTTCTCTAGAGATAGCCATGACTATCTCCAATGAACTACATGGTCACTGATGATGCAACATCAAACACAATGTGTAATTCCCTAGAGATATTCATGACTTTTTCTAAAGATATTCATATTTGTAAGTATGGGTTGTTCATGTCTTAGCAAGAAGTCCATTTGGCCTTGTCTACCTTCTGTTATGTGGGCTTTGAAGTTACATGGACATGTATGTTAAAGTGATATATAACAGCTGTGTCAGCCTTAAGGTTACACAGTGCCTAGATCTGCTAATTGGCTAAGTGCTTTTTCATACTGTTCTTGCCATAAGCTAGTATTGATACTGATCACCTGATTGGCAAGGTTATACTATGGTGAATAGGCAAGGTTTTGTTATGGTTGATGGGAGTAAGGGAAGCTGCACTACATTTAATTAATGCAAGCTCACTAGCAAACTCCCTAAACAAGTATCTACTCATTATTTCTCATGATGTTATGCATCTGTCTTTTATTCATCTTTGTTGTCAAGAGCCCTAAAACTAACCCAGGCAAGATGGAAGGCACTGATGGTCCATACCTATGCTAATGACACAAGTTTCTCCTCTTCCTGGGATCTCATGTCAGCTTTCTATGTAGTCTGGAGATCTGCATATTCTGGTGACTGTACATCCTATTATCAGCACTGATTTCCTCCCACTGTCACTGGTCTCTTAATGTCCTTGGTTATTATGACCTTGGCTGCTGAGAATGACCATGTGAGAGTGGGAATGCCATTTTTAATTGCTAACCTGACCTCAGCTCATTTGTAGCCTGTTTTGTGTAACGTATGAACCCAGAATGGTGGGTTGTTTAGGGATCATCAAAACTCAAGCAAAACACAGATTGGTTTAACAGAACTGAGCTTGTTGATAAATTCCAGTCCAGCAATAGCATGCATTTGGAGCAGGGGTCCTCAAAGGAGTCCCCCTTTTTCAACAGGGGGCCAGTTGAAAGGCGGCGACAGTGGGCACAGGCTGGCAAGGGGGCCTGTGAGGCAGTGGTGGCAGCGGATGCACACAGGGAGGAGGTGGCGGCTTGCTCGCTCGGAGATCGTTTTCTCCAAGCGAGTCCAAAACAATCTCCAAGTGAGCAGGCCACCGCCTGGCCAGGCGTGCAGCGAGGCAGCGGAGGGCCCGCACGTGGCGAGAGAGGAGGCGGTGGCATACAGCAAGTCCACAAAACCTCTGAGGCAGGCCAGATAAATGGGCATGGTGGGCCAGATCCAGCCCGCGGGCTGTAGTTTGAGGACCCATGATTTGGAGTCTTTTTGTGTTACAGTTAGGCTTTTCATGGCTTTTGACCTTACTGTTTACCAACCTTTTCCTCTCTAACCATATATATTTGGCATTGGAGGATAGGTAAAGGTAAAGGTTTCCCCTTGACGTTACATCCAGTCATGCCTGACTCTAGGGGGCGGTGCTCATCTCTGTTTCCTAGCCGAGGGAGCCAGCGTCTGTCCGCAGACACTCTCCGTGGTCATGTGGCCGGCATGACCAAACACCGAAGTGCACGGAACGCTGTTACCTGCCCACCAAAGTGGTGCCTTTTTATCTACTTGCATTTGCATGCTTTCGAACTGCAAGGTTGGCAGGAGCTGGGACGGAGCAAGGGGAGCTCACCCCATTGTGCAGATTCGAACCGGTGACCTTTCGATCTACCAGCCCAGCAGCACAGCAGTTTAAACCCCTGCGCCACCTGCAGTCCAAAAAGAAGGTTTTATAGTTTATGAAACCATTATTTATGAAGTTTCAAATACCATTTTTCTATTCATCTATATTTTTCAAATATCTCTTGATAAAGAACACTTGGAGCTATATTCATCCCCATCTTTCCTACTCCTTCCAGCCTAGGATTGGAGAATACATTTCTAGGAGTGGAGAATACAAATGGGTATCCTATTTTTCTCAGGTGAGACAAGCTCAGTTTATGATTGGTGGTGCTAGGGAGTGTGGGTTGTTCATGAAAGGACTCAAAGAACATCTAAAACTTGATCAGGCTTACCATGGATCATCCCCCACTTCCTTCCCCCTTGGCCCTTCTGTTTATATCTCAGGGAATGCAGTGACAGGGCACATATTGTCTCCTCTCTCTGCAGTAACTGCAGCCATTTTATGGTCACAACAGCTTTTCTCATCTTATTTATTATGTGTGTACATCTTGCCTTTTTTGCTTTCAAGGCAGCTTACATAATTCTCCTCCTCCTTTCAATCTTATCCTCGAAACAACAACCCTGTGAGGTAGTCTGTGATTGGCCCAAAGTTACTCAGCTCCGTGAGTCTGCGCTAGAACCCGGATCATCTGAGTTCCAGTCTTACACTCTTAACCATGATACCACACTGGCTTTTAAGCAAGAATGGAATAGGGATCTAGACCGTCTCCTTTTTCCAAACCATTGGTCTGTAACTAAACCACCTGTGGATCTCAGATTACAACTTATTCAGAAAAAACTTCTGTTCCATGGATATTGGGTATCACAATTTTTCTTTAATTAGGACTTGCCTAAGCTGGCTAATTGCTGGAGGTCTTAATGCTTCTTGTCACTTTATATTTTGGCAATGCCCAATCATTGCCTATATTTAGGAGGAGGTTATTAAATGGATACATCATATCTTGGAATACTCAATATATAGTGATGTAGATGTCCTAAATTATTTATGAACCACCTGGAAGTTGACGCACAGTAACTATAAATGGATTCTTCATACCCTTTTCACAGCTGAAACAGTACTATAATATTAGAAGGATACTCACCTCCTATAATTCAATGAATTGAGGACCTAATGATGCTTTCAACATTTTAATTGATGGTATATAGCTGCTTTTGGAATTGATACTTAGGTGAATATGCCTTTCCTTTGCCACATTAAAAAACAATATTTTCTCCCATTCAGAAGCTAACTTTAACAGAGCCCAAATAATACTTCTTGCTCATGAATCTTACATCCTCACAAAGAACATAGAAACAGAGTGAGTCAGAAGGGGTCTCCCGGGCCATCTAGTCTGACCCCCAGCTCCGCTCACAACATGCCCACCATGTGCATGTCCAGCCTATCCTTGAACACCCGCACCGATGGGGCCTCAACGACCTCTCATGGAAGCCCATTCCACACCCTCAGGGTCCTGACTGTCAGGAAGTGCTTCCTGGCATCCAAATGGAACCTTGGTTCCTTGAGCTTTGCTCCGTTGGAGCGCGTCCTGCCCTCCTCTGCAGGGGAGAACAGGTCTCTCCCCACAAATAAATAAATAAATAATCAATCAATCTGTTCACTGCTGTGGACCCACTAGATGGCCTTGTGCACTGGTCCATTCAATTTATCTTTCCTCCCAGCGGCATGACAAATGTGGCAGGGATAATCTGCATACAACTGAGGGATTCTGGGAAGTTAGAGGAGGTCACTGGAAGCAGCACAGAAGTCAGACGGCAACTGACCGATCAAGGCTAACTAATAGTGCTCAAAAATCAATACATCTACATCTAGTGTAGAGGTATTGTGTTGTAAGCCGCCCCGAGGCTTCTAATGTTGTAAGCCGCCCCGAGGCTTCGGCGAATG